ACAAAATCGCTGCGAAGTGGAACAAAAGGAATGAGCGCTGCATCTTTATATATATACTGTATATGAAGCGGGGTTCACATCCTTTTGGCTACTTTGCCCTTTGATTGTTTCATACTGCCCATCAGGAAACCCGCGGGCCTGCCATTCTAGTTACTAGTTGCCTTCATCCCTGCCCTGATTACCGAGCAAAGACAGTGCTAAGCGGTCCAACCCTGGCCCTGGAAGCGGGGACTGTGCTCGCTCGCTTTGCTAAGGAGATGGCCCGGAAGCTTCAGCCGGATGATGTCTCCGCCACCTGACACAAGCGCCGGTCAAGGTAATTTTCGGTCAGAATAGATGGGTTCAATTCTCCTACTGTAACCGGTAACCTCTCGGGAGGGCTGATTCATGGGATGGCATCACTTCTCCGAACCTGGCCCCTGGAGTTCTATTTTGGGGTGTCCCATAATAATCAAGGAAAACCCTGGATCAAGTGACCTCCTATGAATTTGGTCAATCAATCTTTTTCCTGCAATACTAACCGCCTTTTGAAACATACCGTTTAAGGCTCATGTGTATTCATTTGTTTGTTTTGTGTGTTAAGTTCAGAATACAATAATATTGTTTTTGGTCCATTTGTCTCCTCAGTGTTCTCTGACTGTTCATCCCCTTTAGTTGTGTATCCCAAACCCAAAAACCTTTTGCTCACGCTCGGTCATTGTTGGCTCATGCCTTTGGCAGTTTGCGAATCGAGTCAGATTCATTGGATAAGACATGATAAGACGTTTAGACAGAAAAGGTGGCTGGTAAGATAGAATGCCATGCACGTACAGGAGCAAGGGTATCTTTCTCCCCAAGCTCTTCCCTCCCTTCCTTATCCAATACCGGGTCAGCTTGGCTCACCTGCAAGCCATCCTGGTTGCATGCAACATTTCCTGTACTTGGTTGTCAAGGGGATCCCTCCCCATAAGAGTACCAGAAGTGGGTCCTGATTGATGTGTTGATTCGCTGAGGTCAACTTGTGCATCGCCAATTGCTACAACAAGTTGAAGGACGAAGCCGCAACAAGCTGGGTATCCGAGGGCGAGGTGTTTTTCAGTAGAGAGCGAAACGATATATAAATATATAGCTGCTGCTACATGTTCCGAAGGAGGATTGATGGATTGACTGGGCCAGTATATCGGTTGCAGTGAAATGAATTGAGAAGCTGTGAAATGGGCAGGAGTATGATGATGCAGCAGCCATTTTGAGCGAAACCGCCCACAACTGGCCTTTTGATATTGTGGTGAAGCTCAACCAGGCGACCCGTTGTCGGCGATCCGTTGGATCCCGTTGGTCCGAATAGACCCCTGATGAAGTCAATTCTGTTTGCTATTCGGTTGAAGGCCATCGCTATTATGTTGGAGGTCATCGCTTCTAGGTTGGAGGCATTGCTATTAGGTTGGAGTCAATTCCGTTATGTTCTGTTTGAGGGAAGGAACTGAATTCGATTCCAAGGACTTCCACTCACCAGGTTTCACTAGCTTTGCCCTCTTCTTGACTTTGCATCAGAATCGTTCACATCAGAGGAAGCATGGCCTTACTCAGATTCCAAGTCGGAAGTCTTTTGTGGTAGCGAAGCTCTTGGGATGGATCTGATGAAACCACGCGCGCCCGAAATCCGCGGGTTTCGCATGGGACTGGACAACAGCGGTATGTTCCACTGATGGAAGGGTTGACGTGGGGTTCTCCTCGTTGTGGAAACTTTTGTGGTGGCTGAGCGGCTGAGCAAGCATAAGTGTTGATGCATACGATCCTTCGGCTTCGGCACATTGCCGGGTGCTGAACCACTGCTCGGATACATTTTGATCTCTATAGTATATATATATAGATATACACAGAATTGTGTGGCTTTTGTGGTGCACTTTCAGAAGGCGCCTCCTGTTCTTTGCGACGTGTTCAATGGATGATAGAAGCCTATAAAGGCCTTGAAGCCTCCATGTCCTGAAGGAACCTTCCTTGGACCTTCATTTTTGAACCAATCACCATGACCGCACCTTCGCAAAGGCAAAGAATTGGGAGGACTGGGCAAAGCACGTGGTGAGGCGCTACGGGACCCTTGGTGCTTCAACACATGAATCTTTTGGACTGAGCCGGAGGGGAACTTCGGCTCACTGATTTCTAGGTGCCACTCGAACTGGGCCGCTAGGAAGTTGGTAGGTGTTTTTTTCCTACTGGTAGGTGTCTTTTCTCTACCCTAAGCCTGCAGATAGTGGATACAAACCTACCAATTCTTACTTTGCCTCTCAGAGGGGACCGTTGGTCTTTTTAGTATCAGCAGGGGGCCAGGACTCCCTGGTGCACGTCCTGGCCAACGAAGACCGGCACCAGGGTGAAAACGTACTTGCCAAACTAGTTACCTGTTGTTCTCGCTTATTGTTTTTACTAGCTTCTTGTTACTACTAGTAAGGCACCTGTTACTAGTAGCGATGCACTTGTTCCTAGTAGCGTCCACATCTTCGGGTTACCTGTTGTTCTCGCTGTTGTTTGCTTTCGTGGTGGTTCATGTGGGGCAAATGTTTTGACCTTTCTGAACTAAGGGCGATGGCGTCCAACCTAGTGGCGATGGCCTCTAACCTAGTTGAGCTGGCCTCCAACCTACTTGCGATGGCCTCCATTTCGTTCGTTCGTTGTTTTTGTCCTGACATACCTGCGCGTTTGAGTCTTGACCTTTGTGAAAGAAGAGCGATGGCCTCCAACCTAATAATGATCGATGGCCTCCATGCAACACTCAGGAACCTTTTGAATTAGGTGGCCGTGGGGCCTTACATGTTCTACCTGAAGCTTCTTCAGGGCTTCGGCCAATCAGTACCGTGCACCCTACCCAAGTGTGTCTCCCTTTACCGGAGCCCGGAGTGGGCCCGAAGAGTGCCCTCCGTGGCCTTGCTGAGCAAGGGTGTGTCTCTTCCATGCGGTGTGCCTGGCTTTAATCCCGCACCGCCTCCATTCAAAGGGACGCCAGACCCTACAGACACCAACATGAGGGAACGGAAAATCACATCTCCCCCCGAGAATTCTACATTCTACATGGCTTTGATAATATGCTTTGATGGTTTTTGCTATGTTGGGGCGCCAAAAAGAGACCGCTGCAGTACCCGAAAATCCTGCACCCCCCAAAAAGACAAATCCTGTAGTGGCAATCCTGCTTCAGGAAACTGAAGATCCATAATTATACACAGCGCCACAAAAACCATCAAAAGCCCACAGGTACTGAAAACCATTGAAAACCTCCCGCAGGAAACCAAAACCTCATCTGACTACCCCCATAAAAGAAACATTAAGGCGGGAAAAAAGAACGCACAGGAACCCAAAAACACATTTTGGGGAACTGAAAGTCTGTAGCCCGCCATAGCTTGTCCTAGAGATGACTCCAAAACGCTTGACTGTCGGAGTCTCTCTGATGTTGCCAACTCCCTCGGCGACATTTTTAGGAGAGGCCCGGTCTTTTCCCGAGTCATCGATGAGCTGCGCGACGCCTTGGATCCTCGACAGTTGGGGTGGGTTTGAGAGCTGAGGCCACGTCCGATGAAAAAGATATGTTTGGTCTAAAAAGTACTGTATGAAGTTTGTTTGGTCTAAACACAACTTGGTTTTAGTCGGTTTGGGGTATGGTTGATTTTCTTAGACTAAAACTATCGTCGGTGTAAACATGACTTGGTTCTAGTGTGAGATATGGTTCATGCACTTTGAGTGCGCCCGCTATACAATCCCAAGTTTGGGGCCTGGGAAAATGTGAGTGATCGCCACCATACGGCGAATTTCATGGAAGTTAATTTCACGGAACACTCAAATTGTAAGTTTGTGTTCCTTGACTTCCTGAACAGTATACTGTATCACATGTTTTCTTGTGCGGACTCTTGTCAGAGTTGTCGACCCAAATCCACAAGACATTTGGCAAAATATCTAATTCCACCAGTTTGATTTGATCCCGGCGCGTTTTTTGCAATCATTTAACCTTCACACTCACCCTTTCTCATGGGAGGACCACTTGGGCTCGGCGATTGCTGCTTGGGGCTTCGTTCTGACCTTGTGGAACCGAAGCGATGACCGCGAGCGCCGCCTGCTGGCGCGCCGGGCCCCGGCGTATCAATTGGAAAAGGCCTGGTCGCCCGAGCTTTTGGCCGCCTAAGGTGGTCGGTGTGGCACCGTGGGGCAAGGTCGCGAGATCCCCGACAGTGACATACCTGTGGAACGTGACAAGTTGCGAGGTTTTTGTGCAAGGGTGCGATAGAATAGGTGATGATTGTGATTCCCATGCAATCGCCGGTGTATAGCCCACATAGCTGTGGCTGTTTAGCCTAAAGAAAGAGTTCAAAAGATGGTATGACGGTATGACTGAACAACTTCATGCAATGACTTGCTCAAGGCTTTTGGTTCCGATGTTTTGCCTTATTACATCCAGTTGATGGAGGTGTCTCACTGATCCTGAGCTTCAGTGTCCAGCCGTGCCAGGCCATGACCGATATCCCAGGACGGATCGAGTGACCCAGCAGGTGTTTGGACCTCTGGAGTTGAGTTGGACACTCGAGCTTGGGGTCGGAGGTGTCGAAGGGTCTCCGTTTGGCCCAAAAGAGTCCAAAAGAAAACAGTCAATGTGTTCATCACCACTAGACTGAGTTTGTGAGTTCGTTTTGTTCTCTCATTGGGTGTGGGCTAGTTTCTACACCCTTGGGTGAAAAGGTTAAAAGTAAAAAGGTTTGATTCTGACATGAATTGACCAATTGACCAACAAGTGAATCTGAAATGTAATGAAATGTCAATTGCCAAGCCCAGACGCTCCATGTATGGATGATTTACCATGGTCTTGTAGGTCAATGTAATTAGAAGTGTTTGGGATAATGATAGAAATGGAAAAGCACCAGAACACTCACGTTCATAGCTTCGCAGCGACGCAGCTTCTGGGCTTGGTCAGTTTTGAGTTGGGGCGCACAGCGGGTTCTGCGCAGCCAAACTTCCAGGTATTTGAAAATGCTCAACCGTGAGACTCGAGCGCTCTTGGCGGAGAGGATGAAGGAGCTGGGCCCCAAACATTCACCTGTTCACCACCAGTGAGGGGCCCCATCCATTTGGGAAGCCGATGGAAGCCGAATTTGCTGTCATGTTGCGCGTGCAGGACCTCCGACAAAGCGACTATAGGATGCAAGCCGTGGACCAAGAGAGAGAACAGGTGGGAGTGATGAGACATGGAGCTCACGATGCGATTGTATTCTTCGACAGTTTTTTTTATTTTTAAATACATTATAATATATATATATATACATATGTGATGTTTGAATGACTTGTTTATGTTTTTTGTATGTATTTAAAAATACAATAATAAACATCAATAAACGTTGGGCAAGTATGGGCAAGTGTAAAATGTTGGAGAGGCCTAAAAGACATGCTTGGCCTAGTCAAAAACCTCTATCGAAGCAAGAAAAGGGATTCCGAAGCTGCACTTTGTTTTAAATACTGTAAGTACAGTGGGTAGTTCGGGAGAGGTTGGGGGATTCACTTTGTTTGAACCCTCAACCTTTGATAAGGCTTTTGTGGTGCGATCGACCGGACATAGAATCACCAAATTTGGATGACCAACCTTTGCACATCAAAATCGCCGATGAGCACCACGTCCAACGATCTGTCTTTTCGTATTGTATTTATTCTGCAAGTTTTAAACAAAATAGTCTCAATCCTGTGCCAAGCATAATTTGAGGGATTGGTCACAGCTGTGGGCTGGTGGCCAAGGCATGAAGCTGTGGATCCTTCTCTTTCAACTCATTGAAGATAGTCACACCTTGCGCCTGACCCCTGATGGAGATTCAATTGCACGGTATGAAGAAACTGGAAATGGATGCTTATGGCCATGGCGATGGCCTCAAACGTCCATTATGGATCGGTTTTTCCAACCGCTGGAGTTTGCGACCGGACCAAGTTGATATGGTCCTCGCAGGCCGAGAAGATGCAGTTGAAGAGGAGGGAAGAGGACACACAAAAACTACAAAACACACGCCACGAGACAGGGAACGGCGATGGAAATGAACGACATGGCATATGTGTTTCAAGGGAAGCTTGGTGAGTTTGGCTCACCATGGTCACCATGAGTGGACGTAAAATAGCCACAGTCTCTAGGAATGTGCTTTTGTGTCTAGTCAGTGATGTCGCTTCGAAGAAAGATGAGCTATTGCTGTGGGGGTGGGGCTCGGAAGACAGCATTCCGAGCTTCTTGAAGGGAGTTGTGGTCAATATGTTTGTTTGGAAGGTTTAGAACTTCTCGATGCAGACGGATTTCTTGTTATACGATCAAGGACCACAAGTTTCCGACCAAATGGTCACCTAAAATTGACTAAGATCATGAAAGAAACAACAGCTAAGTACTGTGCCGAAGAGCCTTGACCAGCTTGGATTTGAGGGGTGTTTACCTTGCTTTGCCCACCACCCTCCCCACCGGTGTCTTCGGGTCTCCTCCCCATCCGTGATTCTCGCTTCTGGCCTTTGGTCGAACCGGTCACGGGCCCTGGCATCGCGCGGGGTGCAGCCATGAGAGTTCGGCGGTTTTGGATGTTTCGGACAAGGGCCTTTTTTGCACCAGCAGCACTTCTCCTCTTTGGTTGTTTGATGTGATTTGAAGTGTGAGTTGATGCTCTGCTTTGATGTGGTGAATTTGATGTGGGCCCTTTATATATAATTAAGGGTTTGAAATCAAGTGGTTTCGATCTGGTTGCATTTGTATAACTTAGTGTTCATCATATACAGTATAGTAGAATCTATAGTATATATATATGGAACTAAATGCAGGTGTCAATCCTTTGAGTTTGGGTTGGGGATTCGGTTTGTCGGGTTCAGGCGTCATCCACCTTCTTCGGGATTCGGTGTTGCGTGTTCAGCTCCTCCGGCAAAGTCGGAAGGAGAATGAAGGTGCCGAGAAGGAACGTAGAATTGAAGCAGAGGATCAGGCGTTTGGTCGGCCCGATTTGGTGGACGTTGGTGGAGGTTAGACGGTCAGACTTGTCTCAACAGACTACTGATGGGGGGATGGTCTTGGGGGGAAGCAAGTAAGTGTAACTCTCGTCCTGGTGCCCACAAAATCCAGTTGCCTTTGGGGAAGCAACGCCAGCTCCACATCCCTTGCTCACTTAGAGTTTGTTCCCAAAGAATCCATTTGTTCCTGTGAGTTCCCGTGTGTGTGTGTGTGTGTGTTTGTGTTGAGAGTGGGCTGGCAGGCTCATGTTTTGTATTGTTTTGTAGGAAAATGCCATTTGATGCTTTTTGTTAGTTTTCAGGCAAGTTTGTTTTTGCCCTCCCCTGCCATATATAAACAAGTGTTTCCACATTGGCCCGAGTCATGACAGTGCTGTAACTGCAACCCCAGACACATCACCCTCAAACAGGCCATTCGGCTAATGGCACCTTGGCTTGGTTGAGCGTATGGAACCTGTCGAGGGGCCTGACAGGTGAGTAAGTGATGTTAAAAATGTAAGCCCTGAGGGCACTGAAGCTACTAGGAACAAGTGCCACGCTAGTAGTAACAGGTGCCTTACTAGTAGTAACAAGAAGCTACTAGGAACAAGTGACCGCTCCAAGCAAGGCGTCGTGTGAGGGTCGATCGCCCGCAAACCGTGGGCAATAGCCAGTCAACTACACAATAAAGATGATTGCATGTCCTGTCCGAACGGGGATAACATGGGTTGAATCTACAAACCTCCAGGGTTTGTTCATTCAGGAGTCCAGGAGGGTGGGCCTAATAGTATTCAATAATGATGTTCAGTTCACGTCTACGGGCTGTGACCCTTTCAACCCTGGGGAATCATGCTATTGCAGGGTATTAACCACAAACTCTACAAAAGCATACAAAATCACCAGATTTGATATCGACGTAGAAGTCCACCTGAAAGCCTGGAAGGTAGCTTTTGCCTATAAACTGACCTATAATGCACATTTAAACAAATAGGTATTACATATCAATAGTTATATATTAACAATATATAAGTAATAATATCAACATATATCAACATATATAATATCAACGTATACTGCGTTTCCCACCTCCATGTGACTTTTTGGGAGTGCGTGCCATGTATGCATGATGACAGGATCCATTTAAAAAGCTTGAGCAACTCCAGTACACGAATCAGGCAAAAAGCTCTTTGCACGGCGTTAAGGAACTCGGCAGATACATCAACTTGGGCAAGAATTTGGAAGCTCAGAAGGACAAAGCTGCCAAGGTCAAGAAAAGGAAGACTGAGGCAATGGGGGATGCTTGTCGACTGTCAGTTGGTGAGAAAATGATGGCAGGAATAAAGTGTTGAAGCCCTTCAACTAGGAAAGATACAGTAGCCCGAGGAAACAGGGAGCAGAGGAGTCAAGCAAAGGGATGGGGAAAGAAGGGTTGAGTCAAGAAGAGATTAGGTTCAAGATCAGGTCATATAGAGTGGTCGGTAGGTGCTCAAGGAAGCAACTCTGGCGAGACTAGATGGATTGATCAGGTATGTAGGCAGGTCATGTTCCAGGTCATTTTTCAGACGGCCTTGTCAACTGCTATGTACTCGGCTGTTCAGCTGGGCGCAGGATTTTTTGCTATATTACATACATCCAGAGGTGGCTGGGTTGTTCACGAAAGCCTACGTGTTTGTTCATGTCCTTTTTCGTCACATCCTGGTATCAGGCCTGGTTGACTTCATTGTTCAAAGACCTTGACAATACGGTGGAGAATTGTCTTGACTCAAGGCCAGGGAAGAATCCAGACAGAGCGTCCCAGCCACCAGTGCCACGCCACCAGCGTTCAACGAAAGCCGGTCTCTGTTCAATTCGACGCGTAGCGTTGCCTCGTCGCCAGGAACCTCATTCGATCTCCCAGGAGACGGACGAGAAAGTCCAGAAGTCGGGGGAGGACAGCGGCGCGGTGGTGGCCCGGTGGGGCAGCGCTGCTCAAAGCAGCTCCGAACACCACGCCCAGAGTTTGACAGCGGGTTTGCAGAAGAGCAAGAGGCAAAAAGACAGAAGACCCTCCCAGAAAGGAGATTGAGGCTATTTGAGGCGGATTCAGTGATTCAACCCATTCAATGGGAAACACTCAAAAAAGATCACTTTGTTTCGGGCAGAATGCAGGGTCTGATGTGGGCGTCCCGTGTGAGCGGTGCCAGGTTTTTTGCTGAGTGTGTTGAAGGCCATTGGGGGAGTGTTGTTGTTGTTGTTGTTGTTGTTGTTGTTGTTGTTGTTGTTGTTG